TCTAGTCCTGGGACCAGCAGTTAGCATAATGGCTATGTTGCTGAACTCCCATGTAGTTGACTGCGGTTCTAGTCCCAGACCCGGTGGCTTAAACTCATGCCAGGCGCATGTGCATGCGTGCCCAGAATCCCAAGAGGTGAATGGAGGAGAAGGGATTGCAGCGTGGCCATTCCCCCGGGGGTGATTTCTCACTTTCTGTCTCTCTGTCTTTCTGGAGAGCGCACACGCCCTATAGCAAAAATCTCTCAAAAACAAAAACAAAAACAAAAAATTCTAGTCCTGGAGACTTGAAAAACATGCCAGGCAAGTATATGTGTATTCCCCAAATCCCAAATGGACGGAGAAATGGAGGAGAAGGTATTGGAGCATGACCATTCCACTTTATCCCTCTCCCACTCTTCAACTCTCCATCTTCTCTGGTGAGTGCAAATGCTCTCTGGCAATAAAATAAAATAAAATAAAATAAAAGTAATAAAATGAGGCAAAATTCACAAAGTTATATTTAATGTGCCAGCTACTCTATTGTTTTGCAACTCATTAACTCACTTAATAGTGAGATAGTATAAAGAATTTGGAATATTCAGGGACCAGCAGTTAGCATAATGGCTATGTCACTGGACTCCCATGTGGTCAACTGCGGTTTGAGTCCTGGGCCCAGTGCTTAAACTCACGCTGGTCTTGTGTGCGTGCATGCCCAGGATCCTGAGAGGAGAATGGAGGAGAAGGGATTGTGGCGTGGCCATCCCCCATGGGGGGGTGATTTCTTACTTTCTGTCTCTCTGTCTTTCTGGAGAGTGCATGCGCCCTATAGCAAAAATCTCTCAAAAAAAAAAAAAAAAAGAATTTGGAATACTATCATTGTCTTTATTTTATAGGTGAGGAAACTTAGGTGCAGAGAGATTAAGTAATTCATCTAATAAGTTGCAGAATTAAGATTGAAGCCAGAAAGTCCAATTCCAGAATCTATGCTTTATACTACTTGCCTATGGAACCCACATGTATAGGTAGATATTTCTCTACACATAGACATGTTCATGTGTATGAATAAATACAGAATGAACAAAACAAGAGAGAAAAAATTGATTAGGTCTGAACCCCATCGATGAATCGAATAGTTATCCTGATTGGACTTTTTTTTAATAATTTAAATTTTAATTTGACTAGAGACAGACAGAGAGAGAGATGGGAAAGTAAGAAAGCAAGCTGCCAGATCTGAGATTTGAATGCAGTCTAATGAGAATCCAGTGCTTTAACCACCACACCACCTGCCAGCCCATGATTGGATTTTTCTTAACTTTTTTTTTTTTTTTTTTTTTGATGCTACAGATCCCTTTAGCAATCTGGTAAAGGTTATGAACCTTTTCTCAGGAAAAATTATCTTTAAGAGTTTAAATATAATACCTAATTATTACAAAGCAAATTAGTTTTATTGCTATACAATTATCTAAATGTTTTTAAATTTTAACATAGCAATATGTCTGCAATTTTTATTGGTACACTAAATAGCAAGATCTAGTGGCTGATCTAACAACTATGATAATTTCAAAATAGCTGGGAGTGAAAATTATATTTTAAGATATCTGCAACACCTATCACCAGATTAATACATAAAAATATTTTGTTAAACCTCAAGTACCCTCAAAATAGATTATGTCCCATGTCCTTTTGTTTGTTTGTTGCCATAGGGTGTATGTGCTTGCTCACCGAAAAGAGACAGAGAGAAGAAAAGTGAGAAATCACCCCCAAAAGGGTAAGGTTACACCGCAATCCCTTCTCCTCCATTTTCCTCTCAGGATTTCGGACACAGACACACACATGTGCCCAACATGTTTCTCAGACCACCAAGTCACAAACTGGAACCGTGGAATTGGCCTATGTTCTTATTACTATTGTCATTTTATGTTCATCACTGAGATTCAGTGGGTGAGAAATTTAGTTTCAAGGAGCCAGCAGGTGGCATGGTGGATGGGGCATGGGACTCTCACCTGGCTGACCATAGTTCAAATCTAGGACACATTGGCTTGACAATCTTGCTGGGTGCATGTGTGTTTGTGCTCGAGATCTCAAGAGGAGAATGACATAACCAACCCCCCTCAGGAGTGTTTTCTCACTTTCCCCCCTGTCTCTCTCCAGCAAGCACATATGCCTCATGGGAAAAACCAAAGGAAAAAAAAAATAGTCTCACAGCCAATAACTGGCAAAGTCAATACTCAAACCAAGTCATTTTACAATAAATCTCACATTTTTCTTCTGTTCTCATGTTGTTTCTCTATAACAATAGCAATTTTTTTAAATGGCAGTAAGTACCTTCCTAAGAGTATGACAGTATGAAAGGTGTAAAGCAGAAATGTGTGAAAGCAGATGAAATAAATGCATCTTAGATGCCATGTGAACCTAATGTTTTAGAACAAACAAATAAGATGTCAATAGAGAATGCTCTTATTTGTGTTGGGCAGTGTGGTGTGCAACTATTCTGTAGACTGGAACAACTGTCACAACAAGTGACAGTCATTTCCTCAAACTGCTAGAGTTGGAGCTCTGATTTCCACACACACCAGTCCATTAGCCATATACTCTTCTGCTTCAACCAGCCATGAAATGACTGAATGCCATAGGGCTGTGGCTTTCCAGTCACGATCCTAGATCAGCTTTCTACACTATGTTCTGATAGAGAACTGGCAGAATGCAGCCCCAGTTAAGCAAGCACCAATTGGTCATGGATTAGAGGCCATCTCCACAGTTGCCAGGGTAATTAAAACACCCCAGCACGCTCAACAGCTGCTTTCTATATTAACTGTCCCTGACAGGAATGCAAATTTAAATACACTGCTGACCAATGAAAAGTAATTTACATCAGAAGCCCTGTATTTGTACAACTTGTTGCAGTTACCAAATATGTCCAAGCAATAAATCATTTTATTTGATCATCAAAATAAGTTATGGTATAGGCTGGACAGGTATTAGCTGAATTTTATAATTGAGAAAGCTAAAGAAGGGAGTAGGATAGATAGAAAAAGGTACAGACATCTCCTAGTTACTGTCTTACCAGGAATCTCAGAACCTAATGGTTCTCTCGTTGCTGAGAAACTAGTCATGAAGCCATTATCTTCCCCAAAGCTACTCAAAAAGAGACCAAGTGAGACAAATACTGTTTTTTCTAATCAAGAATAGGGGGTATAAGAGGGATCTTCAAAAAGTTCGTAGATGGGGCCAGACAGTGGTACAATGATAAAACATGCTCTCTATGAGGCACATGGGAAGGTTCCCAGTTGAAGTCTGAAGACCTCCCTGAATATGCCAGACACACACTTGCCTATAATCTGGGCAAGTGGATTGCAGGGGGTGGATTGCAGCATCAAGACCCTGTTGGGAGTGCTATTACATGTGCATGCATGACACTTATAGAAGAAACAAAATTTAAAACTTAAAAGAAAGTTCATGTAAAATGCATATTATGAAAAAACTATACAAGGATTTTTTTAAATAGGAGTATGAAAATAAACTTGTGATTTAATCTATTTTCCCACAAACTTTTCTTCTTGCTTGTTTTTGCTATAGGGCATACATGCTCACCAAGAGGGGAAAGAGAGAGAGAAAGAAAGAGAGAAAAGTCACCCCCCTCCACCTCAGGGGAGATGGGCATGCCACAATCCCCCCTATTCTTCTTTTGGGATTTAGGGCATGCACGCCTACATGCCCAGCATGTTTTTCAAGCTGCTGGGCTTCAAACTGCTCTGCTGGCCATATGGGATCCAGCTGCCTCAACCTCCATGCCACCTGCTGACCCCATCATGAACTTTTTGAAGTTCCATCATATTTTCAGTTTCCTCAAATAGACAAACTTTTCCTTGTAGGCACAAAATGTTGGAGGGTGTTGTAATAACCCAATTAAATCTTCTCTCTTGGGAAATATGAAAACAAGTCACACAAAAACAAAATATGTCAGATATTGAACAGAAGGCTTGAAGTTTCCCTTTGTTTTATCATAGGCTTCAGAAGGGGTATTATTCACAATTGTTAAGATAGGTGATACTACCCATGGTTCAACTCACAAAGGTTTGCTCTTCTGATTCTAATCAGTTTCACACTTGGCTTTCATGAACCAGTTTAAAGAATTGCTTTCTTCAGCTTCCTGTTCTTCATAATCCTCACTGCTCTCTAGTTTAAAGAAGGGTTAAGATACTATCTCATTGCTTTTTTTTTTTGCTTTTGCTTAATTTAGAGGATAGTAGTTGACACAGTCCTTCCCAACATCTTGCCATTGTCCAGTACAGAGGGGAGGAAATGCAGTTTTCTTTGTTGTATGTGCATTGACTACAGTAGATATAGTCAAATGATTTTTTTTTTTTTTGGAGAGGTTTTTGCTATAGGACTCGTGTGCTCGTCAGACAGACAGAGAGAGACAGAGAAACAGAAAGCGAAAAATCACCCCCCAGGAGGGATGGCCATGCCGCAATCCCTTCTCCTCCATTCTCCTCTCGGGATCTTGGGCACGGACACACATGCGCCCGGAGTGAGTTTAAGCCACCGGGTCCAGGACTCAAACCACGGTCAACTATGTGGGAGTCCAATGACATAGCCATTACGCTAACTGCTGGTCCCCCATGATTCCCTATTGAATCACTCATAAACCTACACAATGCCCCATTTATAGACAATACTGACTGAATAGTATCTGTTGACGAAAAGAAAGGAGTGAATGAAGGACATAAGTAACTCCATATCTCAAAATGTTAATTGAGTATAGCATAATAATTATGAATATGGCCTTTAGAGTCATCAGTCAATTTGGATCTACCACTTACATTCAGTGTGAACACAGTTAACTTCACTAAGCCTCAGTTTTCTACAATACAAGAATGGTAATATCGACCTCACAGGAAGTAAAATTAAGATAATACATTTAGTTAGGACTCAGCATAATGCTTGATAATAAATAATATTACCTATATTGGTAATGACAATGATGATCAATTATTATTATTATCTGTTTCTTGTAGGAAACTCTGCTCTTAAAGACAAAGAAGATCAATTTGGGAGAACCCCACTTATGTATTGTGTGTTGGCTGACAGATTGGATTGTGCAGATGCACTACTGAAGGCAGGAGCAGATGTTAATAAAACTGACCATAGCCAGAGAACAGCCCTCCATCTTGCAGCTCAAAAGGTGAGAAATAAAATTAAAGTAAAATGGAACATTTACTTGAAGAGTAAATGTTTTGTGTGGTACTCACTAGTATTTGCTACTTAGTGGAACTGTGTAATGGACAGATAATAAATCACAAATCCATGTGTCTTTGGTTTCATGTTTCTTCTGGAACCAGTCTTTTTTTTTTTTTTTTTTAGAGGTTTTTGCCTTAGGGTGCATGTGCTCACCAAAGGGAGAGACAGAGACAGTGAGAAGGAAAGTAAGAAATCACCCTCCAAGGGGAATGACCATGCCACAATCCTTTCTCTTCCATTCACTTCCTGGGATCTTGGGCACACATACACATGTGAATGGCATGAGTTTTAAGCCACCAGTCTGGGACTTGAACCTCTGTCGGCCATGTGGGAGTCCATCAACGTAACCACTACACCCTCTGCTGGCCCTGAAAGCAGTCTTTAACCTACAGTGAGTAAAGCACAAATAGCCATCAGTGACTGCATTCCCTTATCTAATTTCCTCAGTTAATGAAATTTATTCTCTGATCTAAGGTTTAGTGGAGGAAAAGGATCACAATTATATATACAATTTTATTAAATTATATTAAAAATCTATTTGTGTACTATATAGGGAAAAGACATGAAGACCAAAAAGAAGTATATGAAGATATTAATAGTGTTTGGATTTAAATATTTTTGTACTTTTCAATGTTGAAAATTTTTTCTTAAAAGAGTATTACCCTTACAGTATTTTTTGAAATATGTAGCACTGAAGGTTTAAAATAAATTTATTTTCTAAATGTATTTTCAACTTTGAAAAAAATCTAAAACTATATTGCCAATATTGATAGTTCCACGTTTTTAAAGGCATTGTCAAAAACTCAGATTTTTAAGATTAAACACATCAAAAATATAAAATGAAAGCTTCTAAATTTATTGAAAGCCTCACCTAAAAACTATTTTGCTTCCATAAAATTTTGGTCTGTAAAATATATTTCCATTACCTAGTATTTCACTTTTTTGTTATTTTATACTTCTATATTTTTGGAATAAAAAGCAGTGAAAATTAGTTAGATTCTACAGAAACTTTTAGAGTTATTTCCTATTAAAACATGTGAACCAGATATAGCAATTAATTGAGGGGTTAGAAAAATACCTTTTCATTAGCCTTGTGCATAAAAAGAAGCTGACATTAAGACACATTACTGAACTGCTAGTTATATGTTCATATCAGTTAGGGCTGTCAGGTTATTTCCAAAATGACTTGTCTCGTATTTGCTTTTCATTATAGTAATTTTTTTAAAGATCCTCATTTTCAATCTCAGTTTTAACTCCCGCTTAGGTATTTATGGCCTTTCACCTAGGTCTGTCAGCTGATAAAATTATTCACTCAGGAACGGTAACTCCATTTAACTTATCATCATAAAAAATGTAAACAGTATAGATTGGGAATAGCTCCAATATTAAGAATTTGATATCGTTGGGGCAGCAGGTGGCGTAGTGGTTAAGGCAGTTGGATCCCACATGATGACTTCACAGTTTGAGCCCCACCCAGTAGCTTGAAAAACACTCTGGGCACATAGGTATGTGTGTCCCAAATCCCAAGAGAAGCATGAAGAAGAGATTGTGGCATGGCCATCTACCCTAGGGGTGATTTCTCATTCTCTCGCTCTCTCTGTCACTTCAGTGAAGGTATACACCCTATAGCAAAACTAAAAAAGAAAAAATAATTTGACACCATTTAGATTTTTCAGTGTGACACATTTACATGTAAAATTCAACTTCAGAATAATAGGTTGGAGGAAACTAACTTAACATCAACTAGATTTTGTGGGGGGAAAAAAACTATTTAAAATGACATATTTGTAGAGGTATAATGTGACCAAAATAGTTGAAAGAAAGAAGTATACAATCAGACATACTAGTTCTAAGTCTTTTCATACATACGGTGCTTTGTTTTATTTTAGATTCTTTTTCTTTTTTATTTTTGAGAGAGAGATTTTTGCTATAGGGCGCATGTACTCACTAGACAGAGAGAGAGAGACAGAGAGATAGAAAGCGAGAAATCACCCCCCAGAGGGGATGGCCATGCCGCAATCCCTTCTCCATTCTCCTCTCAGGATCTTGGGCACGCGCGCACACGCGCCCGGCGTGAGTTTAAGCCACCAGGTCCAGGACTCGAACCACGGTCGACTACGTGGGAGTCCAGCAACATAGCCATTATGCTAACTGCTGGTCCCTCTACTTTGCTTTTTTAATTGTAATTTTTATAGTGTCAATAAGTACAACTTGATATATATGTCAAAATTTGCATAATTGATTATATAAGTAACAATCTTCGTGCACTTTCAGGTATCAATAATTACATATTTCCATCATTTCTTTGTGAAGTTGTTTGTTTTTATGTTCTTGCCCGAAGTAGTAATGTGCCTTACACTATACTAGCACTAGTAGAATTTTCAGAACAAGAGTGATAATAATTCTTAACTGCTTTACTCTGGGCTGGCCATGTACTCTAGTGGTTTAGGGAACCAGATCCCACATGGCCAACTGCAATTCAATCTTGGCCCCAGTGGCTTGAAAAACACATGTGGGTGTGTGCTCAAAATCCTGACGTGATAGAGAAATGGAGAAGGAATCGTGGCATGACCATTAGGGTGCTCGCTCACTCACTCTCTATTTCTCTCTCGGGTGAGTGCATGTGCCCACTGGCAATTAAAAACAAAATGCTCTGTCCAATCAAACCTGAGTATTGTGCTTGGTTGTGTGCTTTATACAAAGCACCATTATTTTGAAATCAGAGTTAGTACAGGCTAGACAGAAATAAGATGGGAAATAATCTAGAAATAATTTTCAAAGAATAGTTGGATGGGACCAGCAGATGTCATAAAGGTTATGTCGCTGGACTCCTACATGGCTGATCACAGTTCGAGTCCTGGACTTGGTGGCTTGAAGATCACACTGGACATGTGTGCCTGTGTGCCCATGATCCCAGGAGGAGAATGGAGGAGATGGGATTGCCATGTTGTAATCCTGGGGGGAGGGATGATTTCTCACTTTCCCTCTCACTGTCTCTGTCTCTCTTTCTCTGTCTCTCTCTCTCTTTCTCTGCAAGCACACCCAGTGCAAAGTTTAAGATATAAAAGAAGGAATCCTGTTAATGAGAAACCAACAAGAGACTTTCATGACTAGACATCAGTTCTGACTATACCACTTATTTTGGACTAAGCCACCCATCAAAACGTCTATAAAAACTGAACAAAATACACTGTGTGAAGGCATCGAGAACAATTAGTATTGGCAGGATTCAAGACTCTAAAGTCATTCAGAAAATGAAAGTGTATGAACTGGGTACCTCGTTCATCCTGGCTCTTTCCTTTGAGGCATTTTCCAAATTGGAATGCAAAATAATACAACCCTAGTAGGAAGCAGCTGTCTTACTTGGCTGAAGAAACAGGAAGAGTTTGGGAATACTAGTTGCTGAAATTTGAAGGGCAAAAATCTTGGAGAAAAGGAACCCAAAAATATAGAAACAGATTCCTTACAAGTCATTAGCAGATTCCTACACTGTGCTTGTAGAGGGTGGAGCTCTAAGAACCCCAGCAGTAAACAACAGCTGGGAGACTAAAGAGCTGAATAGAAATTGTTTTTAAATGATCCTATATTTTATTTCACATTTAAGTCTTTTTTAAAAAAAATATATGTATTTATTTATTTTATTTGTTATTTTTTTGTTTTAATTTGACCAGAGAGAGACAGAGAAAAAGGGAAAGTGAGAAAGCACACCACCAGGTCCAGGACTCAGACTGCAGTCATCCATGTGGGTGACCAGTGCCTTAATCAGCCTGCCACCCACTGGCAACCCACATTTAAGTCTTTCAATACTTAACAGTAATCTTTGCATTCAGATCCATTCTTACTTTAAAATGTATATACAACTAATTTTCTCAGTACAACTTAGCTCACTAATGCTTAGCCAGTTTACGATCTGCTATGCACCTGTGCCAAATTTTTATACCATGTACTCTGTATGTATGGGGGTTTCGTTTGTTTTGTTTTTAACAGATGGTCCTCAATACTGTGGAGCTGTTAAAAAAAAAAAAAAAAAAAAAAACTAGGGAGCTGTTTAGAAAATTTGAAAATAAAAGTTACATGATCAAAGTACATTAGGGGGACCAATGTGACAACCAAAACTATTTTGAAAGAGGAAGAGAGTCGATGTACATATCAGTAAAAAACCATTTTAGTTCAGACCCAATAAAGAGGAGAGGTTGGATCCAAGAGATATTATGAGGGTAGAAATGTTCATCTGACAATTATTTGCCAAATTTCAACTATATATTCATAATTATACACCTAAAGAGAATATAAAAAATGATTCATATACTCGTATGTTTGCTACTAAGAGGTGCTGTCAGTACCTATCTCTATTAAATTTCAATTTCCTCTGTTCAGTGAGTCTTTCTGATATATTACATGTCAAATATTCTTTCCAAGTATTATTGATCCTATTTAATTCCAGCATCTGTGACCTCAGAAGTCTGCTACTTGTGTAATCATCAGCATCCAAATATATGTGCAGGCATTCATTCATTCAGCACATGTTAAATGATGTATAGCAATTTAATGTATGAATAATAATAAATAAATAAATAAAATGGAAAACACACACACACACAAAACCCTGCTGTGTAGTAGGTACTGTGTTAGGTCTTAGAAGGCAAAGATGAAAGATACGATTTCTGTGTCTTTTTTTTTTTTTTAAGAGAGAGAGATTTTTGCTATGGGTCATGCATATTTGCCAGAGAGACAGAAAGCAAGAAATCACCCCCCAGAGGGGCTGGCCATGCTACAGTCCCTTTTCCTCCATTCTCTTAGGATCTTGGTCATGTACGCACATACACCCAGTGTGAGTTTCAAGCTACAGGGTCCAGGACTCAAACCACAGTTGACTACATGGGAGTCCAGCAACGTAATCATTACACCATCTACTGGTCCCCCTGATTTCTCCTCTTAAGTTGC